TATGTAGTACGCTCTTCCTGAGGGAAAATACTATCCTTATTTTTACCACATTCTCTCGATTTCTTACATTTTTCACTTCTTCATCACTCTTCATGAAAATTCAAGTTTGTTCATCCCAAATTTGTTCCTAGTAGATTCTGAAACCCTGAAAAGATCAAGTTTCATACCCGGTCACAGTGAAAGAACTTTTACCGCCAAATTTTGCGAATTTGTTTCGTACAAAGATAAATTTTAGTTTTACGAACTGTTATTTTTTTCATTCGATAAGTACTACATGTACGTAAACAATTTAACGATTTGTACGTTTTGCATGTGTATAGATAATTTTTGCTCATAATTTCTCAGTTCCGTTAATGCACCCCTTTCAACAAATACATATGAAATTTTTATTTTAACCACATTTAAAAAATTTAATATACATAAAATGTAAACAATTTTATAGGAGAAGAAAAATAAAAATAATAAAAGAGAAAACATGACAACAATAATTTTAATGTTTTGGTCTGATACGCATAAAATTTCATTTAAGCAATAACTAACGTCAACAACCATAAACTTTAGATATGTGAGCATTATGATCATCATTCATCAATATCAACAACTCCACAAACAATACATATATCTGAACATGCATCTATACAAATTATAATATTTGATTGCGAGTGCAAAAGGAAGTGCATTTAATGTGCATTCATTATACTCAAACTTTCTTTGACAAAATAACAAAAATACTATAAAAGTAAAAAATACACAAGGAGAAAAACACATGTAACATATAAATAGCAGCAACCGTTCTATTCACCATATATATACAATGTTGTAAATATTTAAGTAAGGAACATAACATTAAAAATCACGACAGTTCTGAAATTTTTACTACAAAAATGTAAAGTACTCGTATATTGTATCTAAAGGTTTCAGTTTAGCCCATTTTGTTGTTCATCAACAAATTTTTATTCCCTTCCCGTAAGATTTTATTGTTTTACTATTTTTATATTCAATTGAGAGGTATGAGGGTACATTCAATTTCATAAAAGAATAAAAGATAAAAAAAAAATAATAAAGTGCGCATCCATTCAGAAACTCAACAAAATTAAAAAGTAAAATAAAAAACAAATGATCATAGTGTAGCACAATATAAAAAATTTAATATACATATAGGGTTTAGGAGAACCAACTTAAAATGCAAAGGATATGAAGGGTGAAGAGCGAAATAAATGCGTTCTGAATTCTTAATATAAAGTAACAACGTTTTACTATGCTTGTTGTAAAAAATTGTAGAAATTTATCGCGTGTAATATAAATACAGTACACCCCTAGAAATCGAAAAAATTAGAAATCTAAAAATTTCACTTTATTTCTCAAGTATGTGTGTATATAACATGAGCTTCATTGCAAAAGAGGGAAAGCCTCGAAAATTAATTATTTACCTGGAGAAATAAATAGTTTTTCTTGTTATTATTTTACATTTAAAGGCAATCATTATGACGCAGACAGCTAGCTATAAAAATATATGTAGAATTAAAAAAAGCGCTAATATTTTACTATCAGCAACAGCATATTACAAACGTTTGAATTTTTAATATTATTAAATTTTATTTATTTAAATACACATTGTAAGGACAAGTGAATAAATTCATCCGGAAAGATCAACCTCGCAAGTTCAAACTCCCTATTATTTTAATGAAATTATGAAATTTCTTAATTTCATAATGTTTTATTGGACAAAAATTTTTTTTATTAAATTATTCTCCGTCCGTTCCTTCCGATTTCATTCCATTAGCAAGAAAATTATTAAAATAAATATAAATATTTTTCTTAAATCTGCACAATCATGAGAAATCCTGAGAAATTTAAAATTTCAAACATCTTTTATCTTTTGACTGGCGGCTGTCTCTTAAAAATTAGCAAATGTATTGTCAAGCCTTACCTCAAACTAATTTAATTAACACATTTATTAACACCAGAATGCTTGTATTTAAATTTTTTCCTTTATATTATGCATTTTTTAAAAAATATTCTTCCTCCTAAATGTATGCAACAGAAAATATGGTAAAAATATTCGTAAAAAATTTTTTAAATTTTTCAGATGCCAGATTTTATAAAAATATCAATTAATGATCAAGTTATTCAATTGAAATGGGCAGTTTTAAATAAACCTATAGTTTGATAGATAAAGAAATAATACCAAAGTAATATCTATAACATTTTAATTGCAAAATAATAATGAATAAGTTTTGCTCCTAAAATTCCACTGTTATACTATTAATTATTAACTTTACTAAATCTTGTTCAATTAAAAATGTTATTGAAAAATTTTAAATTATCAAAATACTTATAGTTGACGATAATTAATTTAGAGTACACAACTTATTTTAACAATTACAACAAAAGTATAGGTACTTCATACATATATTCTCAATTATGTTAACCCTGGTTAAACTTCAATCTAAAATCTAGATACATGAATTTTCATTCTATTTTTAAATGTAGTTGATGGTCTGTTCAATTTTGAAAATAGCCAAAAAAAACAAAAACTCTTTCAACCCATAAAATTAACCACCTACATTTATAAAAATTTCAAAATATTCCTAATTAAATATTCATGTCCACATATTTTTACACATATATGTACATAGACACCATAATATGGCTACAATATTATATAATAAAATTATGTTATTCATACATATGTGGCGCTTCATCCGTGAGAAAAATTGAATTTAATCAAGGTCAAAAATAAGGGATGACCCGTCTAATTGATAACAATGAAAAAGATAAAGTGAAAACATAGATGTTTGTGCAAGTATGTATATTAACAAAAGTAAAAATCAAATTATACACACATTATTATGATGAATTTTGTGTATATAATCATTGCATCCTAGAATAAATATTTAATTTAAAATCATAATATTCCTACGCACATATGGATATGGTACGTATTCAGACATGGTATGTCTGAAATTTAAGACCACCAACGACTTCATTAATGAAAACATGATGTTTCTCAATAAAATAATGAATTATTTAAGGATTTAAATATTTGTTTTTTTTTTTTTGGAAAAATTTAAATTCAAGTATGAGATTTAAATTGATTTTTGGTTCTTTTCAATTCGGATGACACCTACTTTTACCGATATCAAATAAATATTTATTCACAATTACAACAATTACAGCAACTTTATTCTCTTCTTCCTAAACATATACTTTAAAATTCCTAGACCGATACAAAATTGATGTGAATTAAAAGGCAATAATTTAAAAAAAAAAACAATTCAATTTATTAAATTATGTGGAACATTTCTTAATTTGAAATTTCTAATTAAATAATCAAGTCAAGGCTTCTATTTTTTGCAAATAAAAATTACAATTAAAAAATGATCGTCAATAAATAATTAATATCTACATATATATTTCAAAAATTTGCGCTTACTGTTATTGGATATTAATTAATTGCATAATATACAACATGCATAATATATAACTATGTCAAATATACCTATGTATGTATATATATATATAACAATCAATTGATTGATTGATTGCAATTATTTAATATCCATAGCAGTTATAGTAGGTGTTGAACTATTTCTTGGACTTTGTTCTGAATTCTATTAACTATAAATGAGTATAAAATATAAATTTTCTATTTGTTATCTTATATTTTAAATCTAAACTTCCTAGATTCATATTAAAGATAAAAATCAATAAAACTTGAATTGCACATAATGCACATTATTTGCCACAGGTATAATAAAAAGTAAATGTAAAATATTAAGTGATGTAGTTCTTTCAATTTGTAAAAGGAGTAGAAATTATAAAAATTTTGTTATTTATAATATTGTTATATTGTACGAGTAGTTGAAAAATTTAGAGAATGAGCTAACTGGCATTCTTAACTTTCAAATAAAAATTTTTAAATTATTGTAAATTATTGTATATATTTTTATTGTATTATTAAATTGCTAAAATCAAAAACTTGTCCGTATTCGCAAAATTGACATTTATTAATTACTGTCAGTTAACAAGAAATGCGCTAAAACTTTTGATATGGTGAAAACCGTCTTTTCAACAAAAAAAATAATACACTATAGATTCTACATTGTAATCCTCAAAACTAATAATGCAGAACTCTAGAAATTGTGTTTGACTTAACAAAATTTGTTAATTTTTAAAATTTTAAAAAGGTACTGGGACTTTTAGGGTTTTTGAAAATCTTTGCGATAAGTCGCATTACTGTATTGTGGACAAGAGCTTAAAAATTCTGAATTATAGATGAAATTACGATTAGAAAAGTTAGTCTGGAATCGGAAAGTGTTAAAAGTTCTTTAAACCCCATCACCAAGTTCTAATCAATGTGCTTTGTTTCAGCTCATTTAAAACGTAAAAAATAATTTCATAAGTACATAGATGAGGAAAGTTCAAAAATTGAATGCTTTCAGAAAGATAAACTTTGATAAGTCAAGGAGAACGACGGAAAAAGAAAGAGTTGTCTATTATTTTTCGTTCATCAGACATTATTTTCCCATGTTTTTGTAAGAGCATTATCAAGCGTTGGACAACTTTTATATAGAAGAGGTATAAGGTTTACCGCTTATTCAAGGCTTAAAATAATTTAATTTAAATTTGCGTTATTGTAATCTAAAAGAATACCTTCAAAAAGAATTTGGATAAAAATTCTCTTTGAAAGTATTCTTTTAGATTTGAACAAACGCAAAGAATAACAAGCGTCAGGAGAGAAACTCATGTAAACTAAATTAATAAATTTTTGATTAAAAATTCTTTCGTTTTTCTCTTGGAGTTGGTAAAACTCAAATGGTATCAAATATTTTAAAGAAGTTCAACTATAAAGAATATAAAATTATTGATATCAATTTTCATAACTCTCACATCGTAGTTATTAAAAAAATAAAACGGTAACACTGGCTAACATTTAATAAGCTATAGGTGAATATAGAAATAAAAATAATATTAAAAGAAAAGAAAAAGGTACTTACCAGCAGAGAACATTTTTGGATTTTATTTCTTTCTTTTTTTTAATTTGAATTTCAATTGTACAGTTGTTTCACATCTATTTAGGCCTTCTTCATTGGCTCTCCCTCCCCCGTTCTTTTTCGTTTTTCTGTTTAATTTAAAATATAAAAATTAAATTGAAACGTTTTTGAACTGTAATCTTGTATTATTGTTGTACTGTACTTATTGTTTTCGATAGGTTGATAGTTGCCTAAAAAGGGTCTACCGTTGTTCTTTTAATTGTTACTTCCGCCGGATAAAGAATAGTTCCGTGTAAAGATTTCTTAATTTATTTCTTTTTCATTCATTTTTCTTTTCCCCTAAAATTGAAAATAAAGTAAAAAAAAAAACAAAAATAAATTTTTTTTTATAAACTAAAAATTTATTCGAATATGCGAGCGTATATAAAAATATGAGTGTATGTATATATAAATACATATTATGTATGTATGCATATGTATACACATAATTATATTTACCATGTGACATACTTGTATGTCTGAATTAAAATTGAATTTTTTAAGAAATGGAGAAAAAACTCAATTATAAATTTTATTTTTTCACAATAACTCAATAATATTTAAGCATGATTGTAAGTACGTACTTGTGAACATAGTTTTGTAGGGCTATATCTTCATTTCTTTGCTTTATGATAATATTTTTGTATATTTGTAGTCATAAATGGATAATAGGTATAAAAATGTACGATACACCCTTATGCATAAACGCAATATCCCAATATGAATGAATGGGCATAATGAAATTTTAAAGTATCTCTTTTATTGTGAATGTATCATCTTTAAGGAAATTGGAAATGAAATTGTCATCAAGTGTGAGAAAAATTAAAATTTATTTATTTCCATATTACATATTGTATGCTATATTATGTAAGAGTATTAGGTGACATATGAATATAAGGAAATTGAATTAAATATTTTTATGAGGAATTATACAATATCAACGTAAAGTAAGCATACGATATTGTCGTATTGCATTTTCAATATAAAAGAAAAAATACGAATTTTAATTATTGATAGAACGTTTTCTGTCATTGATTATTAATTAAAAAAAATGATTATTAAGACTGTTTTCCAATATAATTGTATGTGTTAAGTATTTGAAGCTACACAAATATAATAAACAATTTTCACCAGGTGCAAAATGCCTTGACTTCAAAAATGCAAGAAATTTGTATATGTCAATACATACATAATTTTGCTTAAGACTTTTAATTACTAAATTATGTGTATCAACACATTAATATAAAATCTGTTAAAACAACGAAAATTGCAATGCAGGAATTAACACCAACTTGACTTATTTACGTAGCAATAAACTTTAATTACTGAAAAATAGCGTTAGATAATATCTAATGTTTTAGATCGGTCTGTGTTGAACTGCCAAATATTTGTAGGAACGAAAATTTCCACAATAGAAATTAAAAGTAGCTATTGTTAGTACAAATATTTCCTGGTATTAAAAATTCTGCCCTATTTACTGAGAAAAAGGACAAAGTCAATTTTTTTTAAAATATAAATTAAAAACTTCTTGAAAGAGACCATCTCTAAAACTCGAGAAAAATATAGTTGAAAAATAAAATACTAGTGTCAGTGAATTTTCTGTCTTCATTTATCCTTTGCTCTTATTTAATAATTTATTTTTGTTAGGTAAAGTTTTTGTCCTATGATTCTATGATTTTTGGATTATAGAAATGAAGTAACGTCGTCAAGGAACGGAACAATTGAACGTTAATAAAGCTTATTATTTGTATATAAAATTATTTAGGATCGCAAATTAAAAGCAAATTACCAAGAGATTACATTATTTTATTAATTCCTTAAATAAGCCCTTATTATTTGTTTAATATCTTAGCCAAAGATTAGTGAATATCACAGGAAAATTAGTACGCAATCATTTAAAAATTTTAAAGCCCTTATACCGTTTCATTACATACAATTTAGAACTATAACCTCAATTTCGATCATTTTAATTCTGATAAGATACTTTACTTGTACATACATATACATATATGTATAAATTGAATGGAATTTTTCCGAATAGAGTTACATGTAATTAAGCACAATTTCATGCACAATATTAATAAATATATGTATTTGTACTTATATATATGTAATGTATTGCAAACTTTTAAAACTTAGGAAGATTTTCACATTAATAATGACATTGTTGGCAGTAAAGAGAATTCTGCTTTTAGTACCTGAATGAAATATGCTGAAAGAAATTTTCTATTAATCTGTGATCAATTTTTCAACGCGAACTCTAAAATCTCTTAGCAAATGTTATATATAGTATTTAATTTGCATATATAAAGTTTTTTAATTTTTTTTTTGAAAATTTGCCAAAAATATTCGAAATCTAAATAATTTAGAACAATTTCCTAAAACGATTTCAACAATAATTGCATTTCTTTTTTTGTATTTTTCTAAAATATCACACCTGTCCTATGATTAACATTAATACAATCCTACATTTTGAATTACAAAATTAAATTAAAATACGGTACAATTCAACTATTGTAAATCAAAATTTAGGTCAAAATTACATTTTTTATATAAGTACTCTGAAACAATGCAAACACCTTTTGATATTTATAATTAAAAGTTTAAACGCATTATTATAAATATTCCAAATTTGAAGAAGCAAATTACTTATTGCAAATCTATACTTATATTATGAGTAATAATATAATTACAAACTGTTCAAGTATTTTGGATACAAATCATAAAGAAGAATGTACAATGTGTTTCAATTTATCATACGAGTAATAACACCAACAACAACAACAATTAATAATAATTTTATAATTATAATATAAAAAAAGAAATTTCTATATGTATATGTATGTATATATGTACGTATGTATATGAAATCAAAAAATAAATAATTACAAATTAAGTTTGCATTCTCATTTATTTAATAATTTTGTAACAAATTGGGTATGTATTATAAAATTTATGATTCTGTGGTAAAAAGGAATAACCACCAAAAAATTGATGAAAGTAAAAATTAAAATTTGCATAATTTTTATGTCCTCCTTTTTCGATTTCTACTAATTGATAGCAAAATTAAGATTGAAAAGTTCTTCATTGGATTGTAAATTTTACTTCTACATTTTATACAATTTAAGAGACTTTAGCCTTTTTTTCCAAATTTCCATTTTTAATCATTTAAAAAGAAATTTCATTTTGTTGCTTTTTCCAATTTACTTTTCCCAAACAAATTTTAAACATTAAAATTTATTTCAAAAATTTTTTTAACAAATTTGTATTGTAAGTTAAGCTTAAGTAATTATTGTTCATTATTTTTGGAACATGTAAGTAGAATTTGAATAAAATTTAATTTTGGAATAAACGTTTAAAGTAAGTTTAACTATTTTGGGTAATAAATTTATATTTTAGCAGTAAATCCATATACATATTTTGGTTTAATCGTTTCAAATTTTAGCGATTAGAAAATATTTCTGTAGTAACTTAGATATAAATGATAAGTACACCAAAACATTTTTCGGATATTAATTTGATTATTGAAAACATTTAATAAGCTTAGTTGATTAATTTTTTGCCAAAATCGATTTAAGCGATTATTTCTTTTTGCCACAGAATTGTATATAAATATAAATTAAATTTATGTTTCAGAAAATTTCAAATTTATCATTTAATATGAGAAACTTTTTTAATATGTACAAATAATAAGTGTACGTACATGTATGTACACATTAATTTAAGTTGTATATAATTACAAGTTAATTATTCATTTTGTTGTACGTACAAATTATTTTTTTTTTCTATTTAAATATAAATAAATGTAGAATAGAATTTTCTAGGTCACATTCAAAATTTAAATAATGAAATAATTAAATATTTTATTTTATTAACATTTAAAATGTACATTTTTAAATATTTTATTAATTGATTTTCAAGAATCTTTATATTATTCACTATACTGTCAATTACAAAATAAAACCCATAATATTAATTTTAAAAGACAAAAATTTCATTTCTTCACTATTTTTTTCATTTAATTTTATTATTTAAATAAATGGTTTTTTTTTCTTTTTTCACTTGGCACATTTTATTTTTTCAAATTTCTATTTAATTTTATATAATAAACTATGCAATAAAGATATTTATTATAAATAAATGTGTATGTCTGTGGTATATAGAAAAATCTGTTTTCTCGACAATTTCTTTTATTATTGCAAAATATTTCTTCTTTAAAAATATTTTATAATTATTATATATGAAAAGAAAAACTAAGAAACACAAATAATAAATCACAATTAATTTCAAATTAATAAAACATTTTTAATATTTAAATTATTTAATTTATTCATATTTTATTATTATTATTTAATTTTTTCTTATATATTTTCAATTTTAGTCTCTTCTTCATATTTTTCTTATTTTTTTTTTAATTTTGTACAATCACAAAAGCCGCGAAATTAATAACTAAATATAAAGAAACGGAAAAAAAAAATAATCAAAAAAAAATTTATTTCATATATAAAATAAAAAAAAAACAAAAATTATGTATGTACTTATCAATCCAATAGTTTCGCAAATAGGTACTTAACATATGGAGAACAAATAATACAGAAAAAAAAAACAAAAATAAAATAAAATAAAATTCAAAATACACAATAATTTAGAATATCTTCTATATATATATATAGGCAAATAAGAAAAATTTCGTTGAAACCGTTTAATGGGAGGCATGCTACTATAATTAAAAAACACTTTAATCTTGAAATTCAAATTTTTGGATGCTACCTGGGGAAATGAAATATAAAATATTCTATCAAATTAAATTTTTTTTTTTTGGTGTCACACTAAAACCTTGTTATCAGGCACATCAGATACAATAAGAGTTATGCGATTGAATCAAATTTTACATGCTGACTTTTCAAATAAGAATGTAATTCTCAATAATAGAAAAATTTAAAATAAACTATTTTTGGCGAATTACCCGCCTGCCTTTCGGTTTAATAAGCAATTGAATGTCAAATAACAATTTGTATTACAATTAATGACAAAGTCGGTTTAGACTAGCTGTTTTTTATATATATCAAAACGGCCGTCCAACATTTTCATTGCTGCATAAAAGTAAATTGAATTGTAAATTATCCGCATATGCTTAAGTTTAACTAAGAATGTAAACTGAAATGCACTGTTATCATTTTAGTAATTCAAGTTGTATAAGGCAAATTGACATTAGATCTGCATTTAGATTGATGTCAAATTGGCAAACAAAAGTTTTATCTACGTTATAACTAAAATAATTTTATCTACTATTTCAGTGAACTTTTTTTATTTTAAATTTTTAAAATGATTATATTTTGTTTATCATAATGTAAGTTCATCATTGTGTATATTTAAAATACATGTATATATACATATTAATAAACGAAACACGCACATACCTACTTATATACATAAAGTATATAATATATTTGTATTTTATGTTCAAAATTATGTTTCATTCAAAAAATTTTACGTCAAATTTATGTGAACTAAATTTAGAAAATAAAATATATTGTTCAAGAAATATGTAATATTCTTTTGTTATTTATTTGAAAAATAAATTTATACTGCATAAACATAACATAAATATTAAAATATATATATATATATATTTATAATTTAAAATACAACTATATTAATAATATGTTTGTATATAAGAATATTTAAATATTTTATAAAAAAGTTGATTTTTGAAGTAAAATGTTTTGAAAATTTTAACGTTATCAAAATTAATAAAATACTTATATATGTATGTACATATAAGTAGTTTGTATGTACGTAAATCGTAAATATTGATCACGCATATTTTGTAATAATCGAGCTATAGAATATTTAATTTTGAAACTAAATTTAATTAAATATGTACTCTGTTCGGCACAAATGTAACTTTAAGAGGCAGTAATTTTTGGAAAAAATTAGCTTTAATTATCGTGCCCGAAAATTATCAAAAAAGAAAGTTTGTTACAGCTCTTATTATCGTTTTCGAAAATCTATGTAGTTTTTCCAAAAAATATAATTAAATAAAATTTTTTTGCGGGTCGTTGTTTTAACAGCTTTACTTTATTTTTCATCATCTAGCTTTGTTTTATTTGATTACATGAAAATTATATAAAATTCAAATATTGTTATATTTTAATTTTTTGTTAAATTAACTTTAACGATTTTTCTTGACTTTCACATTACTTCAATGAGATGATAAACATTTTGTTCATCGGCCTCGAGATGTTAAAAATGTGAGTTAAAGTTAATGACAGTCAAGTTATCGTTACTTAAAATATATTATAAAACTAAGAAAACGGTAAGTAATTTTGAAAAAACTTGCTTTTATACAAATTAATGTTTGTTTTTTTTTTTTTTAAACAAGTCCAAACTTATGAACAATATTAATTTCATTGTCGTATCACCATTAAATATCGTTAACGTTAAAAGTTAAATTTTAAAATCCAAATATAGTTATGTAAGTAGTAGAAGAAGTATACATCAAGAAGTATACATACAAATAACGTTCGTAAATAAATGTGAATTGAAGGAAAAATTCATTTGATTTGATTTATTCTTTTCTTATAAGTAGATAACTATGTATACCTATATATATTATCGTATTATTATAATATTATGTTAAATATATAAATAGATGTACATATAATAATACTAAACATACATTATTATTTTAATTTCGAGAAATACAGTGTCTTTAAATGGAATATTAAATAATCGGACAATAATGATTAAAACTACTACAAACAAGGTTTATTGTGTATATTTTATTTACAAAAAAAAAAAAAAATCCGCGAGAGCATAAACACACAATGAATTCTAAATTTGCAAAAAAAAAAAACATAAATAAAAAATCAAAAAAAAATACAAAACAAATTAAGGAGATATAAAAATAAAAATATTGTATACACATTATTTATGTATGTATATATAAATGTAAATAAAACAAAAACATATTTTAATAAGAAAGAAGAATATATATGTATACATGTATACATATATATTTTTTTTATTTACTAGTTTCTTTATTGAAAAAGTTTGGCTTTATTGGCATCCATAACAAAAAAAAACAAAAAACATATCGATCAATTGAACAACAAATATTTCAACAATGAGCGTACATACATTTTATGTATAGGTACGTACATCAAAATGTCACAATTTATAAAACATACACACTACATAAAGTGACTTATATATTTATAGTTTTTATATTTATAAGATCAAAATAAAATTCTTTTAATCTACGCCATCGGAACTTTAAATATAAAATCTTCAATCTACATAATCACTTGTATATTTCACTTGTATATTATTTATAAAAAAAAAAAAATTTTTTTTTTATTATACATTCTATACAGTCTGTACGAAGATATTTATAATAAAATATTTTTATAACGTACCTATATTTTTTAACTGAACAACGTTCTTCTATCCGAACAATAATAAATTTATAAAGTTAATCTTTAAGTAGTCGCCAGAGAACAGCAAATAACAAAATAACGTGAATTAATTCGAACACAAATAACTTAAATCTCAATTTGTATATCGTGTTTAGCGTACTAATTATGGTGCAAAAGATATTTAAATTCTAAATTTTTTTTTTTCTTTTTTAATTTTATTTCTCTTTTATTATTGTTTTCTAAATAGATATTTGTTTTTTACATTTAAACTAATGAATTTTTCTGTACTTATTTGAGATGACATAAAATTCAACTTGTACTTATAATTCTGAAATATTCACTATACTTATGAATACACTCATATTTGTATATCACTCTAAATAGTTATTAATTATTTTATTTAATGTTTAAAATTAAAAATCAAAAACATTTCTTTTAAATTTGATTAAATTTTATTTTGTAATTTACAAAAAAAAAATTAATTTTTTATTCAATTACTTGCATTAAAATTAAATTTTATTAAAGTTATTTGTATTAATAAATACAAATAGCTATTTTCCTTTTGTTTTTTTTAACAATTCATCATAATTATTTAAAATTTCTTAAAATTTTTCAAAATTTAATTTTTATTTTTAATTTTCTCATAATACAACAACGTACAATACAAAAAAATTAAAATTATATATGTAGATATTAAAATATAAATTAGTTAATTTTTTTCTTCTATTTAGTACGAAAGATCTTTAAATACTAAGAATTTGGAAAAGAAAATAATAAAAAATTTCAAAAAAAGAAAAAAAAATAATAATATTATTTCGTTAAAATAATAATGTATATTACTTTTAGTAACAGTACTGTAAAAGATTTTCATAACATTTTTTAAATAATTTAAATTATATAGTAAGAAATGAAAAGGTGAATTTATAAAGTATGAACTTTTAATTGCATCTATAAAATTTTAAAACAAGATTCAAGATTCGATTTTATATTTCATTGAATTTTGTATTTTTATATGCATAGTTAACATTTATAGCTTGAGTATTGATACTTGTACAACTTCTTAAAATTTAAACTATTCTTGGAAATCGAATTTTAATTCATTCGAATTTTAATTTTCTCAAAATTTTCATTATATTTTCATATTATCGAACTCCTTTATCGAATATTTTCATATTATCGATTTCGAATTTATTTCTAACATTATTATCCGTATAATTAATAGCTTTAAAACAAATAAATTTTATATAAATATCATTGAATTTTAATTAAATTTTTATGCAATAAGTATATTTTAAAATATTAAACAGATACCTATAAATTAAAGGACACTGAAAGAATACAAGAATAATAACCTTTCACAATCTTTCAATATTATAAGTGCATATATATCAAAAACTCTTATATTCAATTTGATTTATTATTTAATATCATTATCCACTGTAATGGGAAAGTACTGTATTTTTCACTTTATATTTTAGTGGAAATGATCTAAAAGCATTAGCATTTTTTAAGATCTTTTAGAGCGCTTTAGCCACCCTCATATCATTTGAGAAAAATCATTTTTTTGTTTTCATCTCAAAATATAAAAGAAAACGTAATATATAGAGTAATTTTTGTTTTTATACATAATATAATAACGTAAAATGAATATATCTATGTATATAAAATTTTGTAGAATTTCCTACAAATACAATTATAATTCTTTTTTTTTTTTTGAATTAATACACTTGCACAACAAAGAAAATACAATTATGCATTACTAAAATGTTTTTCATATTAATTTTCTCTTTCACATTTTGTACGGAACTCACATGTTTCTTGCCCATTGGGATCCGTTCCATTTAAATCTGAAGTATTCTTAAATATTTTCAAATTAAAAGCATACATATGTATAGAAGTGTATTACTTGTATGTACACCATATCTCCTTCGTATTTATAAACATATTTACATATTTGAATTTGTAAATTATTTTAGATGCTTCTCTGAATTTTCTCCCATTTTACAAGACGTACATATGTATAGTAAGTATATTATTATGTTTATAAATATTTTGAAGATTAAAATTTTATTCATTGAGCAAATGAAAATTAGGAAACAAAACATTTTAGAAAACTTTCATTTACATATGCATGTATGTATGTATTTTCATTTGAATAAACTTAAAGTTTAAAAAATATAAAATTATAGCAGTTTGTGCGTAGCATATACATAATGCTTAAATTAATATGCATAAGTATATTCAATTTAAAATCTAACATTATCAGGAATAATTTCTTTTAAGAATGATTTGAACACTTTGTACTTACCTCTCTAACTTTACTAATATTATGTTATTAATATTTTGCATTTGCCAGCATTAAGCGCAGTCTATTTCTGTAACATTCAAAATTTAATTTCATTTTTTCTATTACAAAATCAAAAATTAGTAGATTATAACTAAACAAAACAAAAAACAACATTATTAAAAAATTATTGCTATAATTTAGATGAGTGCAAATAAAACAACTTAGATAGTCTGCACATTGATTTCTCTGCAGAATCTATTTAATATCATTCTCATTTTCTTACATAATTTTTTAATGTTTCTTTCCAAACTTGAAGCTTGTTGAAAGCAATAAACTTTCTTAAAATAGGCAAACCTTTTTAAATTAAAAAATCCGAACAAAATAATTTTAAAGCTAAAACATAATATGTGGAAAAAGGTTTTGAAAATAGTTAATAAAGTTTTTAATTAAATTTAGTTCCTTTAATAAAAAAAGGAAACTTAAAAACTTCGAAAATATTTATAGAGAAGTAATTATGGTAGCTCTGAAAAAATTGATATATTGTTTGATCACTTTGCACAATTAATATTTTGTCAAGTAATCTACTTAGTTGCTTATTTTTTTGCAGGATCGCATCTCTATAAGTTTCGTAAAACATAGCAACATTGATTTGTTATTAAATTTTAGAAAGTAAGCTTAAAACATAATTGTGTTAAAGAATTTAAAATGTATTTTGAATTTAATATGGGGCTACTTTTTAAAATTAAACTAAATATTTTTTTCGCATTGTTTAATTTATTTTCAGCATAAAAAATCATAATTAAATATTAGATGTGTGTAGATGTATTTTTAATCATATAAATTCGTTTCATACTTTTCCTTTTCTTTATTTTTTTTTTCCTTCAGTTTCTTTGCTTTCTATTTTATACGCACTTTAAACTTAACATAATGTTTTTAATATAAAGAACTTCTTAAAAAAATTGAATACAAATATCACATGATACTAAACATTTTGAAGATTTTTAACATTCTCAGCAAGATTATGTGGTGAAAAAACTCCGTGCTCAGTGATAATACCTTTAATTAATGATGCAGGTGTCACATCAAAAGCTGGATTCCAACATTTAATACCTTAAAAAATGTTACAATAATTCATTTTTAAATTTGAAAAATTATAAAATAAATTTAAGAAATTCAGAATCAATCATTTTAGCTGAATTTTAAAGAACAAATTATTATGTTTAAGAGATATTATCATTATTGTTAATATAAAATATAGTTGTTGCAAAAGAACAAATAAACCGCGAATTTTAAAAAGTTTACACGTACCAGGAGCAGCTATTCTATGTTCACCTACATGAGTCATCTCTCTGTCAGGTCTCTCCTCAATTATAATGCAATCACCATTAGCTATATTGATATCGATTGATGTCAAAGGTGCAGCAACATAAAATGGAATATTATGATGTTTAGCTACAACAGCAATTTGATAAGTTCCAATTTTATTAGCTGTGTCTCCATTAGCAGCAACCTGAAAATAATTTAAATTATTATTTTTCAACTTTATTCTGTTTTAATTACAGCATATAATATTTTTTACTCTGTCTGCTCCTACAACGACTGCTGCAATATTTTTAGATCGCATCAAAGCTGCAACCATACTGTCCACAATCAATGTAGCTGGTAGCTTATCATGAACTAATTCAAAAGCAGTTAATCTAGCACCTTGATTATATGGACGTGTTTCTGTGCAAAAAACGTGTTCTGAAATAACAAAGTAATTGTAGATCCGCTACTACACTATTTTATTCAATTCTATGCACACTATTTTTATTCCATTTAAAAAATTTAATTTTATCTTACCTAATTTTCCCATTTCTTTTAGTTTTCGAACTACACCTAAAGCTGTCCCATAGCTATTGAATAAGAAAAATAAGTTCAGACTAAGAATTTACCGAAATTTTCATTATAGTAATATCTAAGAATTTTTAAGAAAGAAAATTTCAATTAATGAAAATGAAAATAATTGAAGGCTAAATAATTTAAAAAAAAAAATTGCCGCTGAAAAGTATCAATTATAAAAATCCCAAAATGAATTACAATTTAAATTATTTAACGCTTAAAAAATAAACACTGTACATAATTACCCAGCTGTTGCTAATGATCCAGTATTACAATGTGTTAATACCTTAACAGGACTATCTTTTCCATAACTTTGTAATATAGCTTCGGCACCAAATTTCCCAATTGCCTTATTATCAGAAATGTCTTTTTCTAACATTGCTTCAGTCGTTTCTAAAAACCTCAAATGAAAATCAAATTATTTGTGAATACAATTTTATAGCAAAAGTTACTTTGATTTCATTTCATTAACACTACAGTTTTCATCTTTTGTTAATTCGTTTGCTAGATTTATTAATTCATCAGCAGCTATTTTCATATTAACGGCAGTTGGTCTTGCTGACACTAAATAATTTAATTTTCCTTCAATTTCTTGCCGCATCGTCTTTTTACTATCGAAATTTTCATTGTATAATTCAACAGCCAAAGATAAGCAACCAACAATAGCAATAGCTGGTGCACCTCTCACCTAAAACAAAATATAAATTAATTTTTGTTAATATTTTTTCAAAATACATAAACTATGTTTTCTTTCTTCGCTCCATAAAATATAATTAATATAATAATAAATTTTTTTATTTTCTATTCAAGTCATAAACTGTTCTGCAAATCACAATCGAAAACTTACAATTTTCTCTAAATTTTGAACAAGAAAATAGTAATAATTTAATATTATTAAATTTAGAAAAATGTTGTATGATATTTCCAATACATAAATATTTTACTACATTTCATAAACCATTTAAAATATACATATATAAACATTTACACCAGATATTTTTTTAAGATGTTAGAAAGTGAAATTTTTATGGTTTATTTTAAAAATAAAAAAAAAAAATTTTATGGTGTAGATGATGGAAGCTCTTAAAATAATTTGGTCTTTGAATCAATAAAATCAAATGACTCGATCGAAATCGGCCATTCATTCGAAAATAAATTAAGTAATGTTATTGATACTATAAATACCAAAAATTTTATAGCCCAATTTTCACATTAAGTATTTTAAAGTTTCTTCATGGTAAAAATTATAGTGTTATGTGTTATCTTAACGTAGATAGATAGAATTTATCAATCTTAAAAGAAAAATTTTAAAATAAATGTAGCTAAAATTATTATCATAAGCTTTGATGTACCTGAGTACAAATAATTAAGAACAATGTCTGGTTGTTTGTTATTTTAAAAAATTTCTTAATGAAATAAGCTGAACTTAATTCATATTGGCACAAATTGTAAAGAACAAGAGTAACATGAAATCGTTACTGAACTTAGGCCTTACTATGTAATCCGAATTTCGTAAAATAATTTTCGTATTTGCAGAAATGAAAAACTGCTACCTTACCATTTTTCCGAATACGAAAATCGTTTCACGAAATTCGAATTAGATAGTAAGGTCTAAGAGTTTAGTAATGATTTCATGCTACTCTTGTTCGTTACAATTCGTTACAATATAGTAGAGCTATTTATGTCTAAAAGTCAATATTAAAAATAAATAAAAAATTTTGGTCTTTAAATTGAAATTCCAGTCAATTTAAAATAAATTCTGTTTATAGAAATAATTAAGTAAAACGAACAAATTTTTTTCTGTGATTTTCCAATTTTTTTTAACGTTATGAGAACAAACTTAGGCTATTTTCAGAACTTTTTTGGGTCTTAGAGCCTTGCAAGAGTGATTTTCAAAAAAGCCATCGAACAAGTTCTAGATTCAATCAAGTACTTGAAAACGAAATATCTGGTCAAACACACAAAAGGCAGAATCAAATTAACTACTCAATTTAGTTTCGTATATGTCGAATTTACCGCAAGAACATTTTTTCCTGTAAAAAATAAAAACAATAGGATACTAATTAATAATGGTGCCATAAGTTAACTCTAAAATTTTTACATTGTTATTATTATTTAGATCTCATATTTCTCGTATCAATAAAACAGAATACACATATAAAATAGCCAAAATCTTAAATACCTTAAAATTTTAAGAATTGAAACAATTCAATTAATTTCTTCCAGTTTCGTGTTACACAAAAGCAAATTAATAATTTTATTTATTTATTAAAATATTATTTGTAGCATGCCCACGTAGTTAAAAATTTAAATGCATAATTCTAAAAATAAAACAATAAATTGAAATTTCTATTTCAAAAATAAATATGGATGTACAATACATACTTATGTATGTATGCATATAGGTTACAATGTGTCTCTCACGTGTTTATTTCAATATAAAATTTATTATTTCACTCTTAATTTTTATTTTTTAAATTAAAAGATTTTGTTAAATCAATTGCACCACCTGTCACAAATAAAAATATCATTAGATGAATATTTAATAAAATACAAAGATGGTCGAACGCCCTTGAATTTAGTTAAAATTAATAGTTTGAAATTAAAATTGATTTGAAAACCTAAAATTGATATATATTTTTTTTATATTTAGACTGAGTAAATTTTTTGAATTGCAGAGTCGAAGCGACATCAAAAAAATGTTAAAGTTCAATTCAGTTTGATGTTTGTTCTCATCAAGAATAAGAGATTTCAGGAAATGAAGTTTGATTTACAAATAGGTAGCAAATGAAACAGAAGTTATGAATCATTGGTAAACTCAACAAGAACATAATCAAAAAATTATATTATTAATTTATAACATTTTAAAACAAAAAAATAAGAAAGCTTACACAAGTCAGTTCAAACTAGACTTTTTTAAGTAAGTTTTGTCACTTAAAATACAAACTTTGTTTTTGAAAATTGTCTTAATAATTTCAATCAATTGAATCTAATTAACACGATCAAAAATTTAAAAATCAAGATATATTAAATTTGAGAGTTTGAATAGCAAGCCCTATCACATTTGAATTGGCAATATACTGAAAAGCAAATATACGAGTATGCTAAGTTACTCAGTGACAGACAACTTGTAAAATCAGTTCCAGTGTATAAATCAATAGTGGAAAACCATAACAATCATTCTATTATCTAAATATAAAACATAAAAATCATCAGAATATGACATACTTATATATATAATATTACTCGGGTAAATTCGCAACAATTAATTTATTAGTAAATTTAGTTAGTCATATTTTATTATAAAACATTTTCACGTTAATCAAATACGTATAACTACGTACTACTCATGTACGCGAAGTACATATTTTTTATTTTATTATGTATATATGAAGATGTGCATAATATTGTGATCATTCTAAATAGGCAGACACATTATATGCGGGATATGAAAAAAAAATTCATTTTCAATTCGTATAAGTGGATGTTTTTTAATATTCTTATCTTCTCTGCCTCACTCTCATAAAAAAAAAAATTTTCTTTTAATTTCCACACCTCGAAATAAATTAAATGTTGAAAACCAAATTACATAATATATTTTTAAATAATTAGAGAAAATCTATCATAAAACAAAATAATTTTAGTTATATGAAAATGAAATGGTACCCACAAATCACAATAATTTTTCAACTTTTTTTTTCTTCCTTTTCATTTTGTTGTTTTACGAACAAAATTAGTATTGAATATTCAAATTAAATATATGTACATATGTAGATAGTTTATGAAATTTTGTTGTAAATTTTAATTGTAAAAATAATTTTTATAATTTGTCTTAAAAAATAATTTATGTACTAGAAAACCCTGAACTTTAATTTGACCTTCCTTCTTAATACAAAAATGAAAAGTTCAATTTTATTTCTATTCAATCAAGAATGCCTATCAAATAAGTCAAAACATATTAAAAAATTAAATTTGCTTTATTAATACATAAACAATTAGGTCATTATTTCCGAGCGCTAAATAATATTTAACTCAGAAAGAAAAAAATATTAAAAAGCTGACTGTAACTGTTAGATTTTTATATCAGATGACCAGCATAAACGAGAGAGCTGTTATGAATTTTTACATAGTAAACTTGCATACATACATACATATATAAGAAATTATAAGCAATTCTATGAAAAAACTTTTTAAATAAAAGAAATTTTTTTAATTTACAATTGAATAGAAAATTTTAATAGGTAATTTAAATTTTGGTTTTTCATTTTAGATGACGAAAAATAAAATTTAATTTCTACACTTGTTTTACTTAAAAAAGTGTATCGAATTTACAACAGAAGAAATACTTTAAACTCAATTAGAAAATTAATCATTAAACAAAAAGTAAATTCAAGCTTTACATTTTGGTCACATTAAACCTTTTGTAGTTACGGTAAGCTCATCACCTGCCTAGTAAACTCAATGAAGTAAGAAACTGGTTCATGGTTATCTACAATATCATGCACCAGCAGTATGCTAATCCCAGGAGCGAAGTAGAACCAAAAAAAAAACCTTTTGTAGTATGAAACCTTTTATTGGTTTACATTTGGATTCCGTGTGTATCGATCACTAATCGCGACTTATTAATTCTTTATATATTTTTCCATATCAAGTTTAATTACCCAATTTTCCCTGAATTATTATTAATCGTACACATCTAAATACATAATATAAAATAGAACCTTAATTTGTATTAAATCTTAATCTGGGAATCTTATTTATTTAAAACATTATTTTATTTAAATTGAAATCAAAACCAAAAAATTAAACTATAGGATAATTATCAATTAAAAATTCAAACATACTTCGTGCATATTCTTTATGCCATTAATTAATTTTAAGGGGGCTAACTAGAATGACACCACAAAATACATATACAAAATCAAAACTATTATAATTGCTATTATAATCTTGTCTATAATCCCTATTATCTTTCTGATTTAAAACAAAGATATTATGAAAATTTTTAAGTTAAGCAAAAAAATCTACAACGCAAACATTACGTTTGTGAATAAATAATAATATTATTACTTAATTTTCATATATTCCCTTTTCTTTTCTTGTTTAAGATTTAGCCTATAATTATTTACTCAATAAACAAAAAAACGAAAAATAGAAACTGATAATGTCAAAATTCTTTAAATAAATATTATGGATTTTCATATAAATCCTGTTTTGTCGTCAAAACATTTACATTATGCAATACACAATTTTGTTGTTTCAAATATTATACATGTATCTATATAGGTATGGTACTTATGAACAAGAAAAATATCACTGGAATTCTATAAATATTTAAAAGGAATAATGAAATTAAATTAGAATAATAAAATTAATTATTAATTAAACCTACCTGCATTCGATTAATAACTTTCCATCCATCTTCAACACCTTTTACATCAATATATTTTGAATTTAGCGGCAGCAAAAGTTGATCTAAAATTTCTAATTTTCCTTGAACATATTTTATAGACTGAAGGCTCATTTCTTATAAATAAATGTTGATCTTACTTTAAGAACAGTTGGTATCAAAATAGCGATCGTAAAGAAAAAGATTTTCTTTTTGTTCGATAATTAAAATTAACCTTAAATTATTACTATTGGATTTTCTTTTTATAATGTCTTTAAATGATCTGTAATGAAATAACGTGTTTATAAGACTAAAATTAAACAAAATTTTTCAGTATAAAATTTTTTATTTAAATATAAAAAAAAAGAAAAAGCTTTGAGAGCACATAGTAAATAAAATCATAACACGAGATAACGATGAATTTTCGTTTCCTTTTGCTTTGATTTAATCAAATGAAAATAGAACTTAAAGAGACATAATAATATGTACATATTATGTAGGTATATCTAAGTACGTACATAAATCAGAACTTTTGAATTTATAATAGTCGAGTCCAATATTGTAAACGTTTAATTAAAAAGTGAAACTAAAATACAATAGGAAAGAAAAGTTCAATGTTAGATAGGTACGGAATCTATAACAGTTTAACTTAATTAATTTTTATTTGTTTTATTTTTTTTCTCTACATGAAAATTTTATTAAGAAAAATAAAGTTTATATGTAATTTGAATTTTATATATTAAAATAATTAAAGAAAAGTAATAAAATATCTATATAATTACAAATTATGTATGTATATATGTACATATTTTTAAAATTTTGAAATTTATAATTATTTGCAAATTTCTCAGATTGGTATTCATTCAATCGTGAGCCAATGTGTTTTTTAGTAAAGCAAAACCTAAATATGAATTAGCAATAAATAAGTAGATAATGTTATGTAGATACTTTAGTTAGAGTAAGCAAAACCAAAAAATTTTGAATTAGGTAATCAAAGTTAAAAAATGTTTTTACAGCAATTCTATATCTGGAACGATTGCTTGGTTATGTCATTTTCATATTTTATCACAAATAGAAAATGTTTTTGTTTCTTAAAAAATATTTAAGCAATCGCTGTAATTATTATTTTAAGCATTCCAATAATAAAAACTCAACCAGCGAGATAGAAACGTACGTAATTTGGTAGAAAAGCTAGGTACCCACGAAATAAAGATTTTAAATATTCAATGAAACCTATACCTATATATAACATAGGAAAATATAGCTGATAACACCTGAAATTCGTTTAATTACTAATATTCATAGTATATCTAAACAAATAAGGTTGAAATCTAATTTTTCATAAATTTTTCCCAAATATTAATATTATAGGGTAATAATTGAAAATCCCAAACATGGAATATAATATCTATATGGTATGTATGCGTAAACACCTACTCACCTTTTATTTTAAATTTAGAACCACATTTTATTTAAAAATTAATGAACGAATTTTCGCACTAGTAAGAACTTATACTAGTAAAAGTAGATACCGGCAAATACTGTTCAAGTTAGTAGAAACGTCTCTGTTTGATTGAATAAATTCCTAGCTAGTACATGCATAAAGATTTATATTTAATTTATGTAGGTACACTTTAGGAGTATAGGTGAGTAGATAATGAAAATAATATGAAAAAATATTTGTGATTTTAAAATGTTTTACATACAAAAAAAAGAAATGTATCTTGTACATTTCATGTGTTCAATGTAGTACAAAAGCCAATTTTTAAATTTCTCCCATCCTATGCACATATTTATAAAATAAAATATATAAAAATTCCAACAGACTACGGGTTATTTAAGCCATACTTTTTAATTACAGAATTTTTTATTTAATTAATGTAGCAGTGTCAAAAATTTCATATTTAGAATATTTAAGATACTCTGAAAATCTGCAAACTAGACATAAACACAATGTAAAATTTATGTAGACAAAATTTTTGCATTTACACTTCTATATACATACATACATACATACATATTGTACCTTATGTACTTTATTGCCGGTTAATCGGCTTTAATTTTTTATTTAAAACTTCCTATTTGTGAAATAGTTTTTCGATATTGTGATAAAATTTTATTCAACAAATCATTAAATTATTTTCATTTAAGAATTTGCACACTATTTGCTTAGTTTTATGACATAGCGTTGACCACACTTTTAGATTATAACCATACTTCGAAAGTCTAGCGAAACTTAATGTTTACATAGGCGCCGGCCACTCACCAATATAATTTTTTAGGCTTGAAAAACTGTATTATTTACAAATAGTGCAATTCAGATTGAATAAAAATTAAAATTATGATTTTGTATAAAAAAATTCACTTACTTTTTCTTGTAAATAATTTCGTTTTCTTGTATAAAAAAAAATTTTTAACTGGAATTACTTTGGAATTGAAGGAAATTTAAAAAAATCAAAAATCTAAATGTCACTGACGTCACAGATATATATCAAACTCAGTTGACATTTCAATCAAAATTTGTTTCAACAAGTCAATGAATTCAAAATATTAATGAATATAGAGGATACACAAATGGACATACAAATTGTAGCAAAAATTTGAGAAACTTTACTTTTTAACACTTCGTAAAATTTTAGAATTAATATATAATATATATTATGTAGTAATATTCATAATTTATTATGTACTTCATTTGTACTATTATTGTAAATTTTAATAATGTTAATTGCATATTAAAGTTTTTCCTCCAAATTTTTCCAATCATATACTTAAGAAAATGTAGACATACGAGCATAAATAAAATTTCTTACCTGTTTAAGAATGCAGAATATATACATATATAGTTCATTTTAGTTTTTCGAAATATCCTTTAATTGAAAAAAAAAAATGATCTTTTGCTGAAATAATAAAAAAAAAATTTAATTTTAAATAAATCCAACTTCAACTTTCAAAATTTTAGAGCACCAATATTATAAATGAATACATGGCTCACCTTATTTTAAACTCAATCCAGTCAGGTCTTTTGTGCAGTTATTAAATTAAAGCGCAAGTAAATGTATTTTACAGAGAAACTTCTTTAATCTGAAAATAGAATATATCTCTTAAGTTTCTTTAAGGTATAGATGATGGAATTTTTCACACAACCATGGAATACAATATCTTATTTCGTTTTTATATATACGTTATTGTGATTACTATTCTTTAAGTACCTGTTATAGATATTAAAGCATATATTTTCGTATACTATTTTGAAACTTAAAATATTATTAAGCGACAGAATAAACTCGGTCACGTCCGTTTTTAAAATCGGAGCTCTTTACACTAACTTCCAATCAATTCCTAGATGTACAGAGAAATTAAGTAATCAACCAGAATGTTTAATATTACTACATAAAGGCAAAATTAAAATGTCTGTCCAGTTTGTTTTTCCACCTTTTCGATTTAAAAAAAGTTTAAAAGTTTAACTTTTGGCTGAAGCGTGACAACACATACAAACATTTAATATATATCTGTCAACCGTTTCTGTTAAAAAATAAAATAAAAAAACTAAAAATGTCAGTTGTTCATCATCAGTGAGAATGGTTTGCATATTTTAGTATTTTCTTAAGTGTGTTCGCTATGGATATTAAGTGGAAATTAACGAAATATAAAAAATATCAATGTTAAGTTTACGTTATTCTCCTTTTAATATCTGCCTATAAACAAAATGAAGAAATCTTGTCTGTTATAAACAGAATAAACGTAGCTAATAAGTTGCACTCAGGGATTGAAGGGGTTTACGTAGAGAACATTGAATATGTCAATATCATTTTAGTTTTATTGTAACTTGATTGACATTTGACAATACAAATGGTAAGGCTATGAAAGCTTCGTGACAGCAAAATAAAATAAATCATGTCGAAATATAAATAAATAAAAAATTAGAATATTAAAATATATTGTCAAATAATATTACTAGTTGGTTAAAATAATTTGCAATGCACTCAAATAATAATCCAGATTTAAGTAAAATATGCCGCTTATGTCTAGGTGAACTTGTTGATAAATTTTACATATTTAAGTCTGAGTTTTGCATTCCATTGCGAATAAGTAAGTTTTTGTTTTCATAAGAAAACTTAATTTTATATTTAAATAAACTTCAAATCTTTAAGATTTTTTATCTCAATTCAGCACATTATCAAAAAGCGCGCCAATATTATTAGTCTTTTATTATATTTTAAATGAATTTTTGCATAAGTCTAATAAGAATTGTCATGTTTAAATATTGAGCAAACTTACGCTAATATTAATTCTTGATATGTACCTATTTAATTTATTGCAATAATCTGTTGAATTGATTTAAAAATGTGCACATATTCGTTCACCTATTCTCTTTTGACCAGCTTCGTATTAACAATTTAAATTTTTTTTTTAAAGTTATATAATTTTTGTTCGGAATTTTAGTGGCTTGCACTACATTAGAAGTTAAGGAATCCGACAATCTTCCATCAGCTATTTGCAAATTTTGTAGAATACAATTAGAAAAATTTTATTTATTTCGAAAAAAATGTCAAATTTCGGATGTAAAATTAAGGAAGCATGTGCGTTATATCTCTTCAGGGAAAGTCTCTAAAGTTTTTAGCCAGTCAAATGACGATGATGAAGATGATTACGATGAAGACTTTATTAATTCACAAAAGTTTATTGCGACCTTTGAAAATGAGGAGAAGACGTTAGTCAAACAAAATGAAGAAAACTTAGTAAAGTGTGATAAATGCACACAAACATATGATATAGAAGTAAAAATACCTGAATCTAATATTAAAAACAAAAAATTGATAGAGAATTTCATAAATAACCGAAATGATAATTGTATTAATATTCAAAATGATGTTGAAGTTAATAACAAAAGCAAGACGTCTCTAGGAAAAGAAAGTGAACGTGATGGTATTGTGTATGTGATACAAAGTGAATGTTCAGAGACAGAATATGGGAATCGTCAAGAAGTACGAATATTTGTGGAAGAGGAAGATGAATCATTTTATTCTATAGAAAACGAATCAACTGAATCTAAAACCCAGATTGTTGACGAAAATGATGATAGCACAAGTAATTCGAATTGTATCATAACTGCAAAATAGACATATTAACATAAATACTTTCAGCTTTTATTGATGGATCTTGCATATTATTAGATGAGGAAGAAAACTCGGTTTATTTTTTTTTTTCTCAAAAAATTATCAAAATTAATAGTGTTGTATTTTAGAACAAAGCTTTTGATGAAGACTCCACCGACACAAAATATGAAAGAATGGTCACAGAAGAAAATAAGCAAAGTATTAATGAAGATGAAAAAAATACACGCGATACTAAAATTTTCGAAAACAAAGATATTAAATTATTTAAATGTCATATATGTCCACAATCATTTTCAAGAATGTTTTTACTTGATAAGCACTTGCATCTACATAAAAAAGGCAAAAGTCATATTTGCAACATCTGTAAAAAACATTTTGCAGCCAAAAGTTCTTTAGACAGGTATTTAAATATTACCAATTTGTATATATATGTAATTATTATTTTAGTTTTTTTCATACTCACATAACTGATTTTCAGGCATTCTAGAATTCATAATGGGGAAAAACCTTATAAGTGTGATGTTTGTGGAAAAGCTTTTATACAGGTAAAATATATCGCAGCTTATATTTGATTAATTTTATTAGATGTCTATTTATTTAATTGAATTACTTTATCTTGAAAGAATGAAGTTTTAAAAAGACACCGATATTTGCATCTCGATAAAAAACCTTTTGAGTGCAGTCACTGCAGTCAAGCTTTTATTCAAAAGAATTTATTACAGCATCACATGACGGTCAAACATTCTAATAAGCCAATCCCAAAATTATTTAATTGCGATATTTGCCCGAAAGTAAATTTATTTTTTCGTTTATTTACGTATAAATTTTTTAAATAATTTCTTAATTACAATAACTTTAAGGCGTTCGTGCATTCATCTGGACTAAGTCGTCATCTTATTTTACATTCAGGAATTTCATATGATTGCGAACATTGTAGCAAAAAATTTACTGACAAAAGTGCACTTAAGCGACACACAGAAATCCACTCAAGAAAAAAATTACGACTCAAATATATTAGTAAAAATCCATTAGTCTTTTGACTTAAAATATATTAAATACTTCTTTTCTCTTCTAGGTGACAAAACTGGACAAAAACTAAGTGAATGATGCCCTTTTCAAATTTTAGTTAATTGTTTCTTTAAATAATTCTAATAAAACAAAATACTGATATTGATGAAATTCATCATGACAAAGGACAAACAACTTTTTGGTTGCATTTTATTGTAGATACAATACATAGTATTTATAAATTATATGTGCTTTAACTTTTGTAATAAATAAAAAATATAAGAAAAATGTGGCTTAAGATATGAAAAATAAAAGAAATTGAGCCATGATTTGTTAAATTCAAATCACTTTATTAATATAAATACAATAAAATTTAAGAAAATGTATAACTGTAAATTGTTTTAACTTTTTCAATATTAACTACATAATTCAAAAAATTTTGTAAAGTGCATTTAACAAGACAACATAAATTTTAATATTGGTATATAATATATACATATGTATGCACTATTTGATATAAATATAAATTGTATTGTAATAATTATAATTAAAGAGTTTTCTTTTAATTAAGTCATTATTAATTTTTTTGTTTTACAAAATGAGAACAAATGGTCGCCTTCAGATAAAACATAAATTTAAATTGTTTATGATAGAAATTTTGCTTAAAATTCTAAGACATGGATAAAATAGAATATAAATGATTCTAATATAACTCAAGATTTATAGAAAAGCAAAAAAAAACATGTATGTATAAAGAAAAAAAATTAAAAGGAGATTTCACACGGAAAACTGAAGTGCGCTTATTCGAACATTACAGCAATTGGTAGAAAAATCAATATTTTAAAAACTAAATAAATTTATTCTTTATCTTCAGTTTCGTTTCTTGAAGGAGAGGCATTTTCATTCCTATTTCGTAAAAGTCTAGGTTGACTTGATGCGAAATTAGAGAAGTCTTTCATAACATCTTTATAAGTCTCATCCTCACCATTTCCTTCATCATTAACACCGATTTCTTCATTTAATCTAGTAAGCCTTAACCTAAAATATAAAGAGAAAAATTAATAAGAAGGATATTCACCGTTAGAATTTTTAATATTACAATGTAACAATATCAGCATTCCGTTTATCAACTGCAATGTCAATTGGTTTTTTACCATCTTTAGCTTCTGAATCGTACTGTGCTTTATGTTTAAGAAGTAAATATGTTTGAGCAATGCATCCTTTTTGCGTTGCTAAATGCAAAGGTGTATATCCTAAAAAAATTATAAAAAATAAATTTTATGTAAAAAATGTTAAATAAATATATATTCGTTACCCAGATCATCAGCCGTATTAATTGGAACTCCATTTAATAATAAATATTCACATGCCATTACCGATCCCTTAGGAAAAAATTGAAATTGTACTAACTTTTTGTAAAAAGGTTTATTTTTGAAACTTACAGATAACACAGCTTGATGTAGAGGAGTTCGATTTAAATCTTCAGAGTTCTTCCATAACTTATCGGCACCTAAAGCAAATGCCATACTCATTACAGGCAAATTATGAACTGCTGATGCTTTATACAATAACAAATTCGAATTAAATGTAGCAAGTGATCCCTCTTCAATTATATTGTCTTCGCCTTCAGTCGATTCTTGATCAGAACCTAAAATACCACGATTGTCACATTGTACAGTAGAGTTGTTTAAGTTTTCTCCAACAAGTAACAAATGTTCTCGCGATAAATTTAAATTCATCGATGGGAAATTTATTGAATCGTCATCAGATTTGGAACTTGAATCTTTCCTATGACGTCTACGAAATTTTTTAACGCCCCATTTTTTGCTTTCATCCGATTGGTCATTTTCAGAATTTCCACCTTCAGCATTAAGTCCCATCTCAATAGCTACGGAATCTATTTGGCACACAAATTTTTTTTCAATATATTTTGCCTTTATATAAGCTTCCCTTATAGCATTCTCACAATTTTCGGTAGCTTGTAAAATACCACTTTCTTCAGTATAGTTAGCTTCATATATTTTATTAATGATATCATTTCCTAACTCCATCATAACTTTTACATTTTCAGGCTCCCATGCATCAAGAGTTAATGAACGTACTTTGCTGTAATGCACACCTAAACTTCTGTGAACCCCTGAACAGGCAATACAAAGCGTTATACCCAAATTAATCGATGCCCAACGAGGTTCGGAACCTTTACAGTCACAACATGTTGAATTTCCAGGTATTTTAAGAAACTGTTCCCAATGTCTAAGTTTTTAATAAAAATTAAAATTTCAATAGAACTTTATTAATAGACTAGGAAACCTTACATTTTTTTTTTACTGCTACCGATATTTGATGAAGGTGATGATGAAGAGGGTCTCCTTGTTTGCGGCTCTATATGAAAAAAAACCTGCATTAGTATTTGAAGAAAAATAAAATTTAGATATATAAACTAAAAATTACTACTTTTTTTATTATAGAAGTCAATAAACTATAGAAAATTATTCTTGAAAATGATGCAATCATAAAATTTTACCAAATTGAAGAGCAGCTCCAATACTTTTCTGTAACGCATTTATCCATGCACTTAACATATCAGCAGAATCAGCTTGCAAGATATGTGATCTAAAATATAATTAGTAAATCTTCAAAATTTTGCGATTAACAATGTAAAATTTTATTTACTTTGTTGGCGAGATAACTTCAAAGCAAAATCTTCTATCATTATCATTGAAAGGTCGAACAGTACAAATTCTTAAATCTTCTTCCATAACTGTGTAAGATTCTTCATGTGAGCGTTTTCTATAACGAACAATATTCTTTTCAGTTTTCTAGCATATATGAAAGTTTAACGTAAATATGGTTTATTTCACAGTAATATGAATATTTTCCAAATAAAAACATAACTGGAATATGTTCCTATTGGGAATAATTACCTATAAACTAATTGATTATCGCATAAGTAAAACCATCTGCGACACCATGTTTTGAATCCTTTAGACTTTCTTTTAAACAAATCTAAAAAAATAAAAAAGGTAAGTATAAATAATTTATATATGTATATGCTTTATAATAAACAAGGCTTACATCCTTCTATTCTATTTACAGACTGATTTATATTGTTTTCAGTGTAGTCATTTACACTAGTATGTCGATTCTGCATTGACTTTTCTAATTGATGATAGCTGGAACGCATTGAATTCACCTCGTCGGATACACTTTTAAAAAATTCATCGAAATCATTACACAAATCCGAACCTTGGTGAAAATATGTCCCACATGCTTGATAGTAATCTAGTAACTATTTCAATCAAATAAATAACTAATTTTAAACTCAAAATTTATGACTAGGTATACCGTTGAAAGGATCGCAGGTATTTTCCTTGATTGAAGCAGTGTTATATAATTAACATAATCCAAAGCAGTATGTTGAAAACAAGATTTAGTTCTAAAATGGTTTAGATAATTGTAGTCTAAAAAAATTTAGCAAATTTTAAAAATTCTTACGCAGCTAAAATATTTACAGCTTCTTGTACTTCTTGTGGGCGATTTTTGCTAGCCTATAAAGAAAATGATTTCATAAACTTGGAAATATTTTAATCATTCTTTAACTTTTTTAACTTACTTGCGCATTTTTAATTAATGCGTTATCTAAACTTTCGGAGACTTTTGTAAAATGATTTTTATAATCTTTTACTTGATTTATGTCATCTTTAACAAAGACACTTAAGTTTTTTAGAACAGTCCTACTGGCTTGATCTAACAAAATTGTATGATATTTATTCATTTCCTGAAATGTGTTAAAAAAATATGTAGTTTTTCCAATTTAAAATATACGAAAAGATTTATGTACTTGAAAGCAATGAATTACTTTTCCTAACGCATTATGCGCGTTTTTATCATTTGAAAAATGCTTTTGGAGATCCCAAAGAGATGTGGCAAATGCACTGTAATGACATTAATGTATATATATAATTGCACATATTTAATATAAACAATATGAAAAAAATTGCCAGTATTTATTACAATTCAAAAAAAATTAAATGGCTAAATACCCTATTTTATTATACCTTTGATTTTTTATATAATCCTTTCCTGAATCAACAGCTACGGTGCACATTTTAATAATTCTCTCTAATCTTTGTTCTAAATGCTCAATATCATTTTCTTCTTTGCTTAAATATTGCCTTAAAAAAGTAAAAGTTGGCTAGTTAATGCATAAATGTTAATAAATTTTGCAAATGTAAAATGGTGACTCAGTGTTAAGCTATTCTTGTAATTATATGTAAAGACCGACCTAAATTTTGGTGTGTCTTTTAAGCACTCTTCGAATTCGATTTTCATTTTGACTATTTATTTTGTATGACTTTATTTAATTAGATTAACATTACTATTTTTATTTTTAAATAATGTGAGACACTTAACAAAAAAAAAACATACAAACTTTAAATAATACAATTTTTTAAAAAAACTATCATTTACAACAAATTAAAAATCATATACGGAAAATAAACAAGATAATGACTCTCTTTGCAAAACATTTTTGAAGGGAATTTGTTGTCCGATTTCTATTTGAATGATATTCCAACATTCTCCCATATTCACAATAATATTTTTATGTATATGTCAATAGGTTTGTTCAACATATTCAATTTAATTATATTTGGTGTGCTACAAGTTAATTCACAATATTAATTTGTTATTCCGCAACAGAAGTACATAGATAAAAATCAATTAATACAAAAACGCAACTTTTTGATGTTTCATTCATTGCTTGAAATTTCTTCAACAGCAATTATTTATACTTGCTCACTTCCTGAAAGGAATCCAAGATGTTAATAAATTTCTCATGAAAGTAGACTAAATGCACAAAGTTAACTAAGCTTATAAAACATGCGAAATCGCAAAACGCCCATTTTTCATGTCAATACTCTGCTTTTCAAGCTTTGTAAAGCGGGGTATTGACAAGTTTTGTTAAGTAAAATTGACAGTTCTTTTTGTAATTCTGCAAAAATTTTAAAAATCATAGGATGAAATCGAAAAAAATAATTATTTGGATCGGAACAAAAACACAGTCACAGTTGTGAAAGCGCTCAAATAAAGTTCCCATTAGCCCTATGATTATTTTACTTACTATGCTTAAAAAAACTTTATAAGTAAAGCAAACGAGGTTATCATTGGACTAGTAACTTAAAAATTTAAAAAGTTAATTTTATGTATGTATGTCAAAAATTTTTAATACTTAAATCACAAGCAAAGAAGTTCGTATTTGTGAAAGGAAAAATATTTTTTCAATAAATGAGGTAAGTAGTTTTTTTAAAACAAACATTTGATTTATACATAACATTTGCAACATATGGTAACATTTGCAATAATTTATATAATATTTGCTATATTGTGGTTTATGAAGCGTTGAAGCTTACATTTTTGAAGTTTTAATTTTTTGCCGTGAGGCATTCCCAATGTGTTTGACATATTGGAAGTTTTTAGCCAAAAAAGTTTCATATAAAATTATATTCATTAATTAAATTTAGAACTATTAATAAAATCCTTAAATAAAACGTTTTTACTAAACCTAAATTAATATCTTTAGGTTTCAGTTGGTTAAATAGTTTTTCGAAATTGTAATTATGTAAGTATGCGTAGTAAAAATTAATTTTTAACTAACAATTTTAAATTCAATAATTTTGAATACGTTAATAGCTAGTTCTATTCATACATACATATGTACATATTTTTATATAAAAATTACTGATCCTAAAATAAAATGTTATCCTTGAAATTATTTTCTATATATGTATATACATAACTCATTCTTTTATATTTGTATCCATATGCACGGAGCCATTTATGATTCTTTTTTCCATTATTTTTACCAAATTAATAATTTTTTCTATTTCATTTCGGAAATTTAATTATTATATGTACAACTCATATAATTATGTAACTACATACATATTTCTATGAGTATTTCTATATGTATTTTCTACATATTTTCTAATTTCTAAGTAAATACTACAGATCTATATTTAAAGAAATAAAACAAAAGGCCTATTTTAGTTAAAATTAAAATAATATTTTTAAGATCATGCGAAAACTTATTGATAAAACATAAAGGAAACTAATTGAAAATGTAAAATTAGTGGTTTTCTTCTATGTAGGCACCTACATATGTTACGTTATACTTAACTTACACACATATGTACATATGTACACATCAGCTACATAGTTATAAGTCTATCTATAATTGCACACAAAAGGAAAACCGTTCCACCTTATAAATTGATCATTATAAAGTTAAAAAGAATTTACTTGCTTGCAATTTTAGTTTGAAAAGCAAAATGATTTGCTATTTTTAATAGTATAGGATAATGGTATGGGGCATAAAGTAGGATAAATTAAAGAGTACTCAAATTAAATACTCAAACCAGACTCATCAAATCAAATACTTCAAGATTACAAAAAATTTTTGAAAATTTTGCAAACATCTAATCTGGATTATAGTGGTAAAAGTCTATTTAATTTTAATTGAAAAATTGAAAACTACAGTACCATCCAATAGAAGAGTTCAATGTTATTGACTATTGCGTGGGTTCACATATGTGAGTATATTATATATGCAACAAGTTTTCGAGTGCATAGTAAGTATGTATCAAAAAATAATGTCTATAAAATATTTGTATTATTTAAATATTTTTTAACCATACCATTGTTCAATTTTACCATACCTGTCGAAATTTCATTTCAACTTAAGGTAGAAAAAAAATGTTTGCAAAAATTCCAAAACATTTCATGAGAAATGCCAATATCCTTAAATTAATATAAATTTATTCCATTGTGGATTTCATATGACAACATAATTTTTTCATGTTCTCTTTTTTATACTTTTGTGGATATTTCCGTGAAAGTGTTATTATTTAATGTAGTACTTATATTTATTTCGTTCACATATTAATAAAAATGTGTATGTATGTATATGTATATATCTAAAAATAATAGTATACTCGTAGTAAACGTGATATTGAAAATTATTTTAAGAAACACATAATACGCAAACTTTTCTATTCACCTTTTTTTTTTTCTAAAAATATTGACATATAGTTAATGTTATTGTTAAGGTTCTTTTTATTAATGTTTTTCAAAATTATAACCAAAATATAATTTCAATATGTAAAATAAACTAAAATGTAACAAAAACCTCTTAATTCTAAAGTTATTTATGTCTTATTCGTTCTTAAACATTGTTTATTTCTCGTTCTAAATTTAGATATCATGAATTTTTCTTAAATTAGATACAATTTCATTTTTAGATATATTTGTAATACATAACTAATATTTTTTTTTGAATGAAACTTTTTTGTCAAATTCGATCCATTGTAGATTTTCCAATTTATATTGGGGCTGTATCGTGAAAAATGTATCACTAAGAGATACTTATTTTTATTGTAAAAAAATTACAAAATTTTATTACAAACAAAACCCATTTCCTAAAAGTCATTGGTGTCGACAATAAACTTTAAAGATGATTGCATTATCATTTAGTTTTTGTACGATGTACATCACTTTAACGAAGTTATGACTTGGGTCTGATCGTCTATCTCGCTATTTTACTCAGCAGTTGAGTAACTATCTTATATGTTAATTTGTACAATCTAATATTCGAATGAAAATAATTCGGAATTGCGTATCTCGTTTTTTCTATTATGTATACAAAATTTATTCAATTTGTTTAATGAAAGTGAAACGTTCACTCGATAATTTGAGAAAAAATGCAAAAATTCAATTAAAAAAACGAGTAATGTTATTGGAAAAATGAAATACCAATTAGAAAAAACATAGAATTCTGATTTGAAAGAGAATAAAAAATCGGGATACACAATTAGGCTGTTAACATAAAGAGTCAATTATAATAATTTAATACTTTATTGGTAAACCTGCATAACTACAGATTTCTTTTTATATGTATACCATGCAAAATTGAATACCGTTATATATTCTTATAATATATATATTACTCTTTTTTGCTGTACTTAGGCTTTCAATTTCCACTTAAGCTATAGATTCACTACTTCATGTTTTCATGATTGTGTTTCAGTTGAACCTAAAATTTTAAGAACAAGTTAACATTCACTGTATTTGACATTTAACTAGAGTGCAGTTGAATAAAAATAAGTTTTTGCCATGTTACGCGGTCGTTTAGAAAACTTTTTGAAATTTTTGAATTTCAAAGTTCCGCTTAATTAATTAATAGTTTCTATCAATGTCTACACGTTTTTATATAATCTTTACTACAATATATAAGAAGAAGCATATTTAAATAAGAATTAAGGTAAGAAAATAATTGTTTATTGAAAATGAAAAAAAAAAAATTTTTAGAATCAATTATGAATTGACATATGGTCGATTTTTTATTAGCTATTACTTTTTTCTCTATATATTATTTTGCATGAGAAGCATATTTGAATATCCAGGAGTATGATAATTGCCATAACTTACGGTAACTGTATAATATATATTATATAAGTATGTAAGTGAATATTTAAGATACTTTTAAAATGAAACTAAACTAAATCGTATGGTGATCGATTTCATTTATTTTTTTTTATAATTAATTTTGCTTTCATTACAAAATTTCTTAGAAACTTTCCAGTCGTTAGCATTTTATATAACACATTTCACTCAATATTCAAAAACATACTCATTTGAACCTGAAAAAAAAATTGAGTTAAAATATTGCTTAAATTTCATTTTTCTCTTAATTCCTTAACTTTTCTGAGAGAAATTTTTATAAGCAGTGTTTCCGTTTAAAGAAACAAATTGCGAGTAAAAATTGCTTTTTAAAGATTGGATTTTTATAGTTACGGAACCAATTATGTAATTTTGTAGGGTTTCTCTTTAAAAAAAAGAAGGTATACGGTAAGAAAAAAGAAAGTTATAAGGTAATAAAGAAAGTTATCGGCAATAAAAGACAAAATAAAAAATAATTATTTTAACCCTTTGAGTGACTAACTTAAAAATTAAAACTGCTATTGTAATAAAAATATAATTTTAAATTAGAGTTTATTTAATCACTTATATTAAATTAAAATACGTTTTAAGATTAAGTTAAAATAAATTTTTGAACTTTTATGACTTTTGAACAAAAAACTCTTTGCTTTTAGTGTTCGTACTCTTAATATTTTGAAGACATTCCATTTTATGTAATTCGATATATTAAAATTTTAACAATATGCGAATGCGTTGAATATGAAATTTTAAATCACGAAAATTGTTTTTAATTTTAAATATCATAAAAACATACTTTATATATGGACCTATTTATAAATAGGTTCATTATCAAATTAGACCACTTTGTACTGAATAAAATAACTCAACAACATGGGTACAAAAGCTTTATTCAAAATACACTCAAAATCAATAAAATGAGTTGATTTCTTCATTATACAATAAATTAAGTAAAAGCATAAAAATCGAAATCACTCAAAAAGAGAGATAGGAAAAGAGAGCAAAACAAAAAAAATTAATGAAAAATTTCATCTTTAACATAAATTTATACACACAATAACTTTATATAACTACATAATATTTACATTAGAATAAAATGTTATGTTGAATGTGTACACAATATAGAAAGCATAAAAGAACGTATAAATAAGGTATGTGTATATATGTTATGTATGTACAAAAAAAAAATTCTATATTTATATTAGCATAGGTATAAACTATAAAAATAAAGTTGTACTGTAGAGACCGGTAAAAAATTGTTTGAAGGCGAAATGTTATAAAAAGCGAGAAAAATTCAGTATTTCTTTCAGTCCAACTCCACATTTGTTGCATTGCGGACAAATATACGGATATAACATTTTTAAATACATACCTACATATATATATATATTTTTTTTTCAAAAATCAACAGAAATAAAAGTTGTGTTTTAAGTATTTTATAATTGAATAATAAAGGAAATTTTTTTTTTGTTTTAACATAATAAAAATTTTTACTGCAATTTAAAATCGGTGTACTTACAGTTTTTTTGCTGTTCAATTAAAATTTCTTATATTTTATATAATAAAAGTTTAATAAACCTTACCCATTCATCATGGTAAGTAATACAAATACATTTACACACACACATCTACATATTTGTTTTTTTTTTTACTTTATTGCAATTTTAAAAATTAAATATTAAAAAAAAATAAATGCATTCTGTATTATTTGATTTAAAACTATGTATAAAAGTAAATTAATAATGTTATACTCGTTAATTATAATTATTAGAATACATAATATGCAAGAGTTGTGATTAAAGTCTGAATTATATCCAAGATATGTGTATAATTTGAAATTTTTTATAATTAATTAATGAAACAATTTCAAAAGTTTAAAATTTTGAAGATGATTTCAATTAATCATAATTAACAGTTATAGATAGTATCTTAATTTTTGAAAAATAAAGAAAAAATCTCAAAATAATTTTTTCGTTTGAAATATTTGAAAAATCCAAAATTATTACAAGACTATTAATTTCTATTATATATATGTCCTGTCTTCAGATGATTCAATTCCCTTTTATAACCAACTCCCAAAAAATAAAAAAAAAAATATAAAAGAAAAAAATTCGAAACATGATGATGATGTCATCTGTGGTTGGTAATATAATACCCATACGAGGTAAGAGTAATTGAAAAGGGAATGAAATTGAAAAAGAAGGAACAAAAAAAAATTCACAAAGAAAAATCTGTTTATATAAAATGTTGTTGTTTGTAAAACATACATACATACATACATATATACAATATTTGTTCATGCTATATTAATTTAAAAATTTTATTCTTCATCGTTTTTTTTCATGATATTGCCCAAAATACATAATTTTATATAAAGGATTATAATACAGACTTGAATATGTGTTTGTTTTATAAATTCGCTTATTTTATATATTTTCCTTTATTTCTCCTATAATGGCATGCAGTATGATATAGTTTACATTGAATCATTCTTTTTTATACATTTATAAAATAAGAGGAAAAAAATATTGTAAACATCGAGTATATTAAATTTATAATGAGAATTTATAATACATTACATAAAATTATGTCATATGTATACAGTAGAATCTATACATAACAAACTAAATACATAACGCACACTGCACATAACGGTAATTTCTGCATCGAATACAATTTATATTATTGAATAAATTGAACTTGTTTAGCGATATCATTGATTATTTTTGTCTTATACAGACTCTATGTATCATGGAAATTTTTCTTTCTATTTCGGACTATAAGGTTTATTGAATTTTCGGTGTTGGATATGTATTGATTACACTGTACTTGTAGATAAGTATATGCATTAAATGTACTTACATGCAAATTAATATTGTATAATTTATATAAATTATTTCGATAAGGATCAGTTTTTTTAACTGATTAGTGACCCATGATTAAAAAATTTATTTTTTTGTTCAATTTTTTTTGCTTTTATTCTTTTATTCTGGTAATAAGAAAACTCTTGTATATGAGCAGAATATTTTGCATTATTATTATTTTTCTTAAAGGTATGACCAATATGACTTCTTGGTTGTATATTTATGCTATTTTTAATATATAATAAATTATGTACGTGCAAGGATTAAGGACCTTCATTTATATAAAAATTAAAATTTACATTTGAACGTGTGCGTGCACATAGGTCGGTCACACAAAAGTTTTTTTTGCATGTTAGTCTTATATAATTAAAGTTAAATATTGAATGAATGAATAAAAAATAATAAAATAACAAAAAAAAAAGAGAATAAAATAAACGGTAAAAGGAGTAAATTAATTATAAAAAATAACTGTCACTCGATAACAAACACAAAAGAATTAAGGAAAAGAATGTAAAATGCTTAAATCTAAGGTTCTTTGTGCAATAGTCAGAACATTAAATGGCACACCTTTTGAATTTAACTAGAATTTCTTTTATCTTATACTTAACTTTTATTTTTATTTTCTGGGTGTTTCTCTAATTTTTCTCTTTCAAATTTTTTCTTTGCAATTTTTATACAGTAAAAAAATGGTATTAAATTAACACGAAATGTAAATTTGATTAGGACTATACCTATGTGTTAATTTTATATACTTAGCGATTAAGGAATGATTATATTTTAACAGTTTATAACAAAAGATTTTCTTTTGAAAACTTGAGAAATGCAAAATTTTCTTAAAAAATAATTTAGTAAATGTATGAAATTTTCCAGCACAATAATAGTTCCTTAATTATGATTAGAATTTTAGAAAAGTTAAAATTTTTCATTTAAGTTTTTGTCTTATTTTTAACCAAAAAGCTTTAAATAAGTTAAAGTATTGCGTTTCTTAAATTAGAGTGAAATTAAAGAAAGAACGTAATTGACCAAACTAAAATCAATAATTTCGAAATTATAGCGAAAATTTTTCGCTTATTTTATAATTTCGCTTATTTTAAAATAAATCCAATTAAAATATTTTTATTTATGCAATGAATTTGCAAAAAATTTATACATATTTAAAAGTACTTACAAATTAATTTAAAATTTTTATTATCAATGGTTGTATAATTTAAAGCCCGTCTGACGTCATATTGCTTTATATTTAACACATAATATTTTGGTACTTATTTGCAATTTTAATTGCCTAAAGTTAAGCTGGTGTTAGATCAACAATAACACAGATGCCTCTCTTATTTATTTTTTAATAACTACGAATTTAGAAAAGCATAAAATTCAAAACTACTGTAAAATTGATTCGAACTATAAAATTGGTGTAATAAATCTGCTTTTTTCAAATTTATTCTTGCAAAAATAATAATTGCGCAAAAGAATTTTTTAACAATATTTTTTTCATTTTTTGCATTTTTAATAAACTCTACTCGTATCAAAAATATTTCAAAATCAGATGAAGTGAATGCATTTATATTATATATATATATATATATATATTGTGCATTAACCTAAATGAAATTGTGAAAAGAATAAAATTTCAATTTGATTATTGTTTTCTTCTTAATCTCTTCTGCGAATTCGTGTATAAGATCGAGAAAAAAGAAAGACCGGAAATAATTATTAAATTGTATTATTTTTTTTTTATTATATAAAATTATAAAACTAATTATAAAAGGCAATTTAATTTGAAGAATTAAAAAAATGTCTATTTATATACCTACAGTATATTATATACTTAATATATTTGAGAAATGCACGCATTGTCTTGTGGACCAGAAAAATATAATTAAGAGCAGAATAAATTTTTTATGAAAAATTAAATTACTCAAAATAAATTAAAATTGTTGTAATTTTACAGTTAAGTTTAATTATAAAATATATATAAAAATTGTAAATTTAGCTCAAAAAAAAAATTTAATTTAATTTTCAGAAAGCGATTTTGTAAGAAAAAAACTGACTAGTTTTTATAACTACTTTTTGAATACATTGCTCATTAGATGATATCTTGGAAATTATTGTTGATAAATAACGATTTTGTCTTACTTACACTCTACATTTGAATCTCTACAATACTTACATCTTACATTTGAATTTTAATTTAACATATATATAGTGCGAACCTGTGACATCGGTTTTATCTTTATAAGAGTTTACAGCTAAAAATTTTTGTTTAGAGGAAAAAAAATTTTTAAATAACTTTGAAAAAATTAGAAAATTGAATACAAGTCTACAGTTTTTGTAGAGTTCAATATATCAAACAGATTGCTTGTGTAGACTCGATTTTTGCAAATACAACTTTTAAACAAACGATCTTACTGCGATTATACTTTTAACTATACATGATTTAAAGCAAATTCAAATTGAGTATAGCTCCCAACCCTATACGAAATATATAGAGCTGTGTTCTTTATGTCATTGTATAGTTTGATTAATTGTCAAATTTTTTCCTTCATCTATATTGTTGGTTTCATTTAGTACATAGGCTTCTATATTTTATGCCTGCCATACTTGGCTTACCTTTATATGTAAGCATATTTGTATATTGGGAAAAATATCAATGTACAATTATGAAAAATGGCAATTACATATAATTTTTTGCTTGTGTCACCTTCTGGTTATTAAAAATTGTAAAGAAAAATTTTTTTTTGTGATTTGAATTGTCTACATTGTATACAATAAGAAAAAAAATATTATTAATGTCATTGAAATTATTGATTTGGAAAATTTATTATCTATTCTTTTCAATTATCCTATCAAAAAAATTTCAATTTTTTTTTTTTCAATGGTTTAATAAATCAATTTCTTCAATTTGATTTATTAAACCATTTTCTTTAATAAACAATAACTAATATAATAAGTAATTATAGAAGAAAATATTTTTTTTCTATTTTAAATACATGCCTAGATAATTTCTTTTTTCTTTGTAATAATTATTACTTTATTTTCCATATTCTTTTAACTTTAAATTAAAAATGTAAAGCTTATATATGTATATATACATATATATATATGCACATTTTAAGTACATGGGTACAAAATATTATTATTGTGTAAAAATGAGTTCATTTAACTGGTATGACCTTAATAATTTTTCTTTAACCCTCTTTTTATATATTAACAATAAAGTAACAAAATTTTTATATATTAATAATAATGTAAAGTTATACAAAATATATTTTTGTTTATAAATATATTAATATTTATAGAAAAAAGATAATCGTTATTAATTTTACTTAACATTAAAGTTCCGAACTTAAAAAATGTTCAATCAACAAGATTTTAACAAAATAAAAAAATAACCAGAACAATTAAATGCGAGAAACGAATTTGTTTAGACCATAACTATTAAAACATATCTGGAAAGAAGTGAAAAAAGTGATCTATATAAATTCTAAAACACACACACAAAATATAAATTTTATTTTTTTTTTTGGCTTTCATAAGATCTGAACCCAATGCCTATCTGTTTTAAATCAATTCTTCGAGAATATAATTTCAGAACATACAAAAAACCAAATTCCATTTAATTTTCTTAAATCACTTCAACTTCGTGTTAAATTAACAGTAATGTAAAGTGTAAAATTTTCTTAATAATTTCCAATAGTACTTTTGTACAATATTTTAACTAAAAATATGAATTT